TGAACCGAGATTAAAGTTAATCTACGTTGGTGGAATCGGGCATAAATCCCGTCTCATATATAAGTTCAATAATTTTTTTAATTCTAAATTTTATTTAATATTTAATAGTTATGTAAAAATCAGTGCAATTTTTATAATTATAAATAAATTTAATTAAATAATTTGGCAATGCAGTTTATGAAAATTATGCTTGCTTATATCAATAAACAAAAATGCTTTAAATATTTCAGCAACTGGACTTGGTATCTCCGTTCCAATTATATTTCAATCCTATTCTTATCGTGGAACAATTTCAGGTATGAAATAGCAGATATGCTAATAAGTATGCAAAGTAATTGCTTCATTATACGCAGTGACTATCCTAAGTTACTACTCAGTACAAAAAATTATATATGTGGACTTTTGTACTTTTAACTTTCAATTTTTTTTCTATTATATTGTGTATTAAAATTAATTAAATTTAAGTAATCTAGAAATGATTAATAGCTAATAATTATTAATAAATATTCATTATACATGCACTTTAAAAAATATTACTTTGAATTATTTCAGATATGGCGGTTAATAACAACATTCCTGTTTTTCGGGAATGTTGGCTTCAACCTATTATTCAATATGATCTTCACTTATCGGTATTGCCGTATGCTGGAGGAAGGGTCTTTTCGCAGGAGAACAGCTGATTTCGTAATGATGTTCATCTTTGGTGGATTATGCATGATTGTATCCTTGCCAAAACATATTTGTCACTATATTCAATTGCTAACATTATTATTTGTACTTTTCAAAACATTTTATTGTTATTCCTTAATTATTTATAGACTTTTGCATTCTTTGTCAATCTATTGTTCCTGGGACATGCCTTCACGATAATGTTGGTGTATGTGTGGTCTCGACGGAATCCATTTGTCAGGATGAACTTTTTCGGACTTTTAAACTTCCAAGTAAGTCTTGTGTATCTCTTGTAAAGAGTTATATAAATTAAATTATATATTTTATTATCTGCTATATATTTATCATTATTGCAGTTTATCTTAGAGAGAGTTATCACATTATTATTCTATGACTTGTGTTAAACTAATGGTTTATCATTAGTAACTTTTATCACTGTTTGCAGGCTCCGTATCTACCATGGGTGCTGTTAGGATTCTCAGTATTGCTCGGTAATACGATATGGGTCGATCTTGTCGGAATGGCGGTAGGACATACTTACTATTTCGCGGAAGATGTATTTCCGCGGTTAAGAGGCGGTTTTCGAATTTTGAAAACTCCGCAAATACTGTAAGTAATAATTACTCAATATTAAAATTATCAATAATTAAAATCGAGTGAGTTGCAGTTTATTTTTAATTAAGTTATCTCAGCAAAGAGATAATACATCATTTCTTTTTTTTTCCTGCTTCAGTAAGACTTTGTTCGACGCACATCCTGAAGATCCAGATTATATGCCGCCTCCAGAAGATAGGCCAGGCGGTTTCAATTGGGGACAGGAAGCCAACGTGCAGTGATCGAAGAATTCACCTGCTCTCTTCCTGATGCCTGATTTTACGTCGAATTAGCCAAGAACATTGTGGAAGCGCACGTTTTGTCGTTATTCTTTTATCTTTAGAATGATTGATAACTTTTTTAATGCTCGAATTCGTACGCAAAAACTTATAACACATATAAAAAATAATATACAGGATGTAGAAGAGAAATGTATTAGACAATTTTTGAAAATTTTCATCAAAGAGCTCATGTTTTCTTTAGGCCAAATGCCTGATTAAATGTGAATTCTTGTGCACCTTGTATATATACAAAAAAAGTCGAGATATGCATTTGACGTTTATCAGTGAGTCATCGTTAATGTTAAATTCTGTATCCATTCATATGCATTCATTGGTATTTGTTTTTGCGTACAGAATTCAGCGTCTATTAATAATATTACCTGTTTAAAATTCAAGCATTGCGCTTCTAGCACTATTACGAAATATAGATTAAATCAATTTATGTAAAGTATATAAGATATTGCAAAATTTTTTTTCAGGGACTGGCAAGTGTGTCAGCTGAATAAAAATTAGTAATTTTAGTTATTATTAGGTAAAGTATGTACACAGGCTGTTTATATACAATCCTAATGTCTACGGGCATAGTAGTTTATTTCATCCGAATATATTGTAGCAATTTTTTAGTGATAATTAAAATTTTTGCAGATTTATATTTGAATTCAAAAGTCTGCAGTTCTATAGAAATTGCGAATGCAACTGAATTGGTATTTTGAAGGGATTAGACTCATCTGTAGTGAATATGAACTTTCGATTCTGCACGGAGGTTGTAAGTTTTCACTTGCAAATTCACTAGATTTACCTCATAAGGGTAGCATCACTTTTGTAAAAGTGTTACTTGCGATTGGTGGTCATTTTGTGATATACTTACCGTGCTCATAGTTCTTACAAGTATTAATGGAAGAGAGAGAGAGAAAATGCCATTGTGCAAGGGAGACTATTTTAAAGTGTACTGAAGCATTTATTTATATTTATTATCCTAGCGAAGTATAATCTAGGCATCATCTACAAAGTACAAATCGTTGAATATAAACTAAAGAAATAATATATATAGACACTTTCCACATTTTGTTCATACGTGTATATTATGTACTATGTGAATATAATGGAGACTTGCATTGGTTAATAGTTAACAACCGTCTCTTTTTTATGGAAACGATAGGAAAGTAATATTATTTTACAGGACCAATCACTTATTTAATTAACATTAATCTTCCTAACAAATTTTGAGTTTTAATTCTTGATTTGTTTAAAAATTTAATGTGATTTCTTAAAAGTATTAAATTCTAACTTCGCACTTCTAAATTTTTATTATTTTTTTTTCATTAGAAAGTAGACATTATTTTGCCATATGCACACGAAAAAAGATATCATCAATAGCATTCGTCCAGTTTTTCATCTGACAAATGAATCTCATTAATTCAATAGCTGTACTAATCGAATAAATATACTCTTATTTTATCTAACACTGTTGTCGAATTAACAAGATTTATTCTAATAAGATGAATGCTGTTGGTATGACATCATTCTTTTTTCGTGTAATTAATAGTTGGATACTTTTTCTGTGATCTTCACGAATGTTATGCGCAATGGTATTCTAAGCTAAACACGAATTATTATGGATTTTTAACATGTATAACCACTTCTAAATGTCAAAGTAAATTTATTTTTTGGTGTATTGATTTAAGTGGAGAAACAGCAACTCCCTGTTTCGAGGAACAATCGTCACTGTCAATAATCATTATTTAATCACGATTTCTGAGAGTCTAATTTTCACTTTTTTAATGCGAAAACTTATATTTGAAAAAAAAGTGAAAGTGACAAATTCACTGAAAGTGGACGTATGACAAATGGCACGTAATGTGCTGAAAGGGTGAATCAATAAGCGCGTCCGCAATCGCCAAAGAATAATTATCAAAGAGTTGTAAAGAAATGAGTAATAATGAATAGGATTAAAAGTGATTTTACAAAACCATTTATTTCGATTTAAATAATAAATGATTAGCGTAATAGGATTAATATAATGATGTATAACTAAATACATATATGCAATGACATGGACTATAATACAATGATCATCGGGGCTCTATTGTACACTTGTTCTTTATTGTTTTATCATATCGCCACTGTTGCTAAAAGCACCGTGATGTCATCCGGTTTGCCACCTACAAGATACAAATGATTTTGCACATTTTTTTCTCTTGTATATCTTTCATTTCAATTTTGTATCCAGTTAGTTATTCATATTAGCGAACTAAGATCAAATATCAATCAATAAAAAACGTCTTTCAATAAAAGTTTAATTTTTTTTGTAAGAAAGAATGAAAAATTGCAGCATATATTAAGAGTTTAGTTTAGATAGCTTTCACAATGTTTTATGAAATCATTTTTTATGTATACTTTTTTGCTGAAAATGCGAAATAAAGGATCAATATAGTTTTCTTTTCACATACCTATCGCGTCGATGCCATTCTCCTGGGCACTTTGAGCAAATGGAGACATAAAGGCGCCATCGAAGGCCAAACGGCGTGCCATCCACGCTATTGTGTTAGCGACGCACTGTATTTTTGTCGGGTCTCTCTCACCCTCGATCTTTTGCATTTCAGTGACTAGCAACTGGTCAGGCACATTGTCGAATACTCCATCGGTTGCCAGAAGGATTACATCGCCGTCTTCGACCCCAAAGCTCGAAGTATCGGCGGACTCTGGACTGAAGAGAAAAAGAAAAATAAATTTCGCAATTATGCTCTTTATATATATGCAGCAACCGATGATATAAACATGATTAAGTCGAGCAGTTAAATGCAGAGTTAAAATATATGAAAATGATCTACCTGTCGCGAAGCACTAGACCAGAATGTCCTGGAGGCGGGAGCGACAATTGGAAGGGAGTGTTGAAGTAGTGTTGCTGCTCCGAGGAGCGATGCACCACCTCTCCCTTTCGCACGACTACGAAACCGCTATCTCCTATATTTGCTGCATAAATGCTGCTCGTCTCTTTATTGAGGACTATGACGCACGCAGTGCTGCTACCTGTACAAAAAAAAAAGATAATTACAATCTTATTTTTAAATATATATTATGAATTGGTTCTAATATGAATTTATCTATGCGCAATTTGCTTACCTAATATTGGTTGTTTATTTTCTAATAATTCGTAGTAACTACGCGCTAATAAGCCTGCTGGTTCAGTAGGTGTAAATCTACCCATGGAGACTAGCCTCTCACATGTTCTCATCAGAAAACTAGAAAATTCTCCCGGATCAATTCCGTAGTGTCGCCATCCTCCCACGCCATCGGCCACACCTGAACAATTTAATATAATTAAGATTAAACGATTAATGATTATTTTAATAAATGCTAATTAATTTTATACTCTGATATATAAAACATAATTATGGATAGATAGAGAGAAAGAGAATGTGTATACAAGTAGCCATCTATAAATAACTATATGTATCAAAGCAATCATGTGATTACAGTTCAAAGTCCAACATTATAAAAACTGTAAAAAATGTATATATATTATGTGTTAACCACAAGCATTAAAACAATCTGTACCCGAAAATCCTTGATTTGTATTCTCATAAATAAGTTAAATAATGAATATATATAAGTTGCAGCTTTTACGTAATAAGTTTATATACTTGGATGCAAAAGTACATGTACACATGTTGTAATAGGTTAGATTTTTTATGTATAAATACCCAACATTACTAAAATGTTAACTCATCTTAAAAAACATATAAAAATGTATACAGACAATTTTTTGTTCTCGTTGGGCGCACTTTTTTATAGTTTTTATATTTAAAAAAGAAAGAGGCACTTGTATATCTTAAGAGGAAAAGTACAAAATATCAGTGTAGAAAATGTGATAAAAGTATCTCATGTGATAAAAAAATTTAAGATGTATTATACAGTTTTCAGCTATGTTCTGTGTATTTAAAACGATAATTTACACAGGGCAAATAAAATGAAAGAAATAAAAATCCACAGTAAACTGTAGAAAGTACAGTAAAAAGTCTAATGAAATTACATGAATGAATAAGAGGATACCTCATGATATTTTCTAAAATTAGAAGGATTTCACTGTACAGAATTACACACTAATCAATGTGCAGAAAAAAAGAGAGAGAAGGAAAACTTGAAGCGCAGCAAAGGGCAAAGTTCTACTATGTGCAATGTGAGAGATGCAATGGGAAAGCATCAGGGCACATCGCGTCTCACCTATCACTTCAGCCGTCCGGAATTTGGCGGTGAACCAGGCGTCATCGCCGAACTGTCCCCTGCGTATTCGACTTCGCGTAAAGTCCTTCGGGAAGCCGCACACGGCGGAGACGAGCGATGCCTCGCAGCGTTTACTGTTGCTTGCAACGGCCGCGTTCAGCTGCTGCTCGGTGCCGCACGCAGAGCTATAACTCGAGATGCCGTTCCAGAGCGCGCGCGACAGCAGCCGTCCGGTCCAGTAAATGGATTGCATCGCGTGTATTAGCTGAGTGTTGCGCTTTTTACGACACAATCAGCGCACAACGAACATCAGCACCAAACTTGACAGCATCACAATGCACATTTTTCTCGCTCGTTTCGTTTCCACCCTTCGGCCTTGATTATTCCGTAGCAGGCCCTCACAATCGCCTGAATGTCATCGTCTCCTTTAAATACTCTAACGAGATGCGCGTTCGAGAAAGCATATACGGCGAAAACTGGCTACTATTATCCTCGTGCTTATCATTCATTCACCGCACCATATCCACCATACCGCACTAAATTACGGGAGGATTGACGATCGACTTCGTGCGCGATCACGTGGCGCGCTAGCGTCGAGTGCAATATATATATACGTGAGGAGAATACCGATGGCTCTTTCCCTCCTGCTTCGTGACTCTCACAAGCTAGGGACAGCTCTCTCTCTGTTCACTCGCCTTTTTAGCTTTTAAGATATATCCACACGTTGAATTTTATTCGCCTGTAATTGGTACATACTTGCAGATCTAAAAAAAAAATACATTAATTCAGGCGACGATAATTCACTTCTATTACAGGGCATTCTAAAAACATGAAAAATACATATTTAAAACGTCCTAAAAACGTCCTAAAAAATACATATTTAAGACATCCTAAAAACGTCCTGGAAAAGACATTTTTTAATTTTCTTTAACAATTTTAAATTTTGCAATAAAAAACTTTCAAAAAATTTAAAAATAGATGTTTTAATTAATTATTTAAGTGTTTTACAAGTCTAACACTGTCGAAAGTAGTTCAGAAGCATGTAGAAAAATTTAAATTACGCGGCCGGAAATGCTCTATTTTAAATGGGATTTTATGAAATTGTAACAGGAGCACATGATGATATAGGAGCTTGTTAACAGGAGCACATGATGCTTAGGAGGTAACTCGTAACAGTGCCATCTATTGATTAGCTAAAGCAACATTACGAATGCATTGATGGTAAGTATATTGATGGTAAGTATACCGACTGCACTAGTTGTTTTACATAATGTTGTAGATGGCACTGTTACGAGTTACCTCCTATATCATCGTGTGCTCCTGTTAACAAGCTCCTATATCATCATGTGCTCCTGGTAGCAATTTCATAAAATCCCAACTAAAATGGCCGCTAAGAAAGGAGACAGAAATAGTATGTCTGCTCTCTTCTAGCGTTCAAAGCTGCCGAGCGCGGAGTTCACATGCCATACGTAGTTTGCGCATGTGTACGATATTCTCTGCCTCATGCTGCTTGCTGCTTGCGTCTCAATCTGGTGTCACTGCCTCCTGATGCACGTGTAATGTGCATACGGTCGTGTTATTTTGACGTTTCTGCAACTCCAATAATGTGATAAAATTTTCTAAGCTGATAAATTTGTTTTTAAACTTGAAGTCATTTTCCGTAATTTTTTACCGGCTCAAAAATGAGTACTATTTTGGAAAAAATTGCCTCCATCGAGGCTGAGGTAAGTCTTATCTTGCTGTTATAACCAATTCTCGCGATTCGTGATATTATCACGAAAATGGTTTTCTTTTCCAGATGGCCCGTACCCAGAAGAACAAGGCAACTTCTGGACATTTGGGTCTGTTAAAAGCAAAACTAGCTAAGCTCAGGCGTGAGTTAATCACTCCAAAGGGTGGCGGCGGGGGTGGTGAACAGGGTTTTGAAGTTGCCAAAACCGGTGATGCTCGTATTGGTTTTGTCGGTGCGTTTTTCATAATTATATTAATACTTTATAATTCATAATAGTTGCATTATAGTTTTATGTAAACTAGATGGAATTATTCTTTAATTCTTTAATTATATATTATGGAATTCTTTTGAATATGACACAAGCTTGTATATTATCTTGCGCATAATAATATTCCATGTTTCTTTTAATGTGACTTTATATAAAAATTTTATTTGTAGGTTTTCCATCTGTTGGAAAATCCACATTGTTGAGTACACTTGCTGGTGTATATTCTGAAGTAGCTGAATACGAGTTTACAACGCTCACAACTGTCCCTGGTTGCATAAAATATAAAGGTGCAAAGATACAGGTAAGTTTGCAGTACGATTGCATTTATTATCCCTAATGTGTATTTATTGCATTCCATGTCTGTTTGTGAAAATCTTCAGAGTTAATATCTTTTGTTTCAAATATTTCTAATTTAAATATTTTAAAATAAAACTTGAAGCCAACAATACACGGGAGTAAAATCAAGTGAGATTATAATAGAATGCATCCTGCAGTTATTAGATCTTCCAGGTATTATAGAGGGTGCGAAGGATGGCAAGGGACGTGGACGACAAGTTATTGCTGTGGCACGAACGTGCAGTTTGATCTTCATTGTTCTTGATGTGCTCAAACCACTTGGACATAAACGATTGATTGAGCATGAATTGGAAGGCTTTGGTCTAAGATTAAACAAGCAACCACCAAATATAACTTTTAAAAAGAAAGACAAGGGTGGTATTAATCTACAGACCATTGTAAGAAAATAAATTATCCAATAATCAGTTAAAATTAATAATATTTGTGGCATAAAATATTGATGTTAAGATACTAACCTTTTAGTGTCCGCAATCCGAACTCGACTACGACGCAGTAAAGATGATCTTATCAGAGTATAAAATTAGCAATGCTGACATCACACTAAGGTACGACGCCACGTCTGATGATCTGATCGACGTTATAGAAGGGAATCGCGTTTATGTTCCATGCATTTATCTTTTGAATAAAATAGGTAATTGCAAAATCTAATAATTGTAATACATTGTAGTAGAAAGAAAATATTGATGATTTATAATTTCTTTGTAGATCAAATAAGTATAGAGGAACTAGATATTATTTATAAAATTCCACATTGCGTGCCAATCTCAGCCCATCACAAATGGAACTTTGATGACCTGCTGGAAAAGATGTGGAACTATTTGCAGCTTGTTAGAATGTAAAATTATGATCTGAATATCGTTATGCAATACTTTAGTTTGAATTTTTAATTCTAATAAAATTTAATGATTAATTTCCACGATAGCTATACCAAACCGAAGGGACAACTTCCGGACTACACTACACCTGTAGTACTAAATACTGAAAAACGAACTGTTGAAGACTTCTGTAACAAGCTTCATAGATCAATTGCGAAAGAATTTAAATAGTAAGTCCGTACTTTTTTAATTAAGTTTTTGAAAAAAAATTGTTCTTAACTGACTGATTATATTGCAGTGCGTTGGTATGGGGTTCATCGGTGAAACATCAGCCGCAAAAAGTAGGAAAGGATCATCTTCTCTGCGATGAGGATGTTGTGCAGATTGTGAAAAAAGTGTGAACTGCTTTGTACAGTTGTTTCTCGGCAGAACAAATACTAACTTCACTAATGAGATTAATAATAGCAAATTTATGAAGTTTCCATTTTAATTAATTATGGTCGTATTATATGTACGCATAATATCATGTTTGGCCGATACAAAGCGCAAATGAAGTGATGGATTATGTCTAATCTTTGCAACATTGTAGGTATCTGGTTTTATATGTGAAATTGTGTATAAAATATCCCTAGAAGTCTATATTTTATACTTGTCACTTGAGCTTTTTTGTGAATGAATACATAACATAAAATATAAATATACTATTCTTTATTTTATATACATGATTGCAAATATCATTTATCGATAGCTTATTATTTATTTACTATATTTTATAACATATAATATCTAGACAGACATTTTGTGTCTTAAACGTGAAAAAAATATTTTTGTACATAAGATCAAAATTAATTCATCTTTTGCAAACAATCTATACATATACATACAATATCTTATAAATTAAATTATTTACAAAGTTTTTAAGATATATTCCTTTCTTTGCTGATCTAGCAACTTTTCCAAATGTTCACATCTTGAATTAGCGTCATCGAGTTTTTTATTAAGATTTTTTATAATTAGAACCTTTTGGGTGACTACAAGTTTTATCCTAAAACAAAAAGATATCTTTAAATAATGCAAATAAAATAATCTTGTATTAACTTTCAATTCGTGTAGATTCATTTACTCATTTCTTCAATTATTTTACTAACTAACCTGCTGTGCAACTGTGCCATAATTTGGTCTCTATTAGCATTATTCTGAGTTATTTCTTGATAGAGCAATGCAATTTTGTCTTCTAATTCTCTTTTTTCCGTTTCAATTTCTTGTCTTGCTGTATCTTTTGCATTGTCCCTCTCAGTAGTCAACTTTACAATTGTCTGTAAATTTATATATATATATAACAAAGATTGATAAAACCATAGAAATTATATTCAATTAATTCTATTTCTGAAATTTACCTCGTGCATGTTATTTAGATTGGATAGGCATTCTTTCAATCTATTTTTTGTTTCTTCAAACTGACTTTCCGTACTTTTAAGTCTTTCTTCCAATAACAATAATTTATTTTTGTAAATTGTTTCATTTTTAATTGCAGATTGTAATTTCAAGTCGTAATCCTCTTTCATTAATCTGGAAAATTTTATATGTATATCTATATTCGAAAGAAAAAAATAGAGCCTTTCTAAATAGTTTGATTCCTTAAGCGTCCCTTTTTCTAATATGTAAAATCTTTATCATTAAGCTTACTCCAATTTATTATCAAAACTTTGCTGCAACTTAGCTCGTGTTTCACGAGATTCCTTATCCAACCTAGATATAGCAATCTCTATCTGTTTGTCTCTTTCCTTTTGACAATTATTACGAATGGCAGTCTCCGCTCTTGTAAAATTCGTGTTTTGCTGTTTTTTATAATCATCCGCCCAAGCGAGCCATTCTTTTCTCAAAGATTCCTCGAAATTTTTTTTCGCAATTTCATGTTGCTCTTTTAATCTTTTTGTTTCCGTCTGCAAGGCAATATTTAACGATTGCATAACTTGCCTCGCTCGTTAGAAGAATAATTTTATTTTAAAATAAACCTGTAAATGCAATTGCATTTGTTGCATCATTGTGCTTGTTTCCTCGTCACGTTTTTTTTGTTCCGTAATGAGCACCGACTTCTCTCTTTCAAAATGCTCCAGAAATGTTCTTTGCTGCGTTTGAAAGTGTGCTTCTTGCTCCTCCAGTTTTTCTTGATATCTAACCAAACGTAATTTTATTATCGTTTATGTTTGCATCTAATGAAAATTATACTAAGATCAACCTATACGATATCAATGCATGCGAATGCTTTACCTCGCTGCTAATATATCCTTCTCCTTGGCCAACATTTTCTCGTGACTGTCTGTCAACTCAATTCGCAATTGTTCCAATTGCTGATTCGACCTACGCATCGCACGCAATTCCGCATCCTGCAATTCCTTTATATGCGCGCGCCTTAACTCCTGTATTTCCTGCTGATGTTGTTCCATCATACTGTGCAATTCCGGTTCCAATCCTTTCACTGTCATTTCCTGTGAAATCAATCATTTCTGCGTAATCTTTGATTATATATTGCAATATGCAGATACGTTAAAACACAAACTTTGACAGACTTTCAAATTAAAAATCAAATAATTGAAAAATCGTTAATTAGAATCAAATTGCCATTTTTGCAATTACATTGTAAAATTTTATTTGAAATCATACTATTTTATAAAAACAAATTGCGGAATTATATTTGCTGATAATATTCGACATAAATTTGCAATTACCTTAATTTTTGAGGTTTTCATCTCCAACCATCGCTCACGTCGGATTTTCTCGGACGCCGTTATATTTTCTTTCACGCGTTGCAGCTCGACGGTGTGTCTTTCAGTAATCACTTTCAGATCTCGCTGAATTTTCTGTTCCATTTCTTTAATCTGTCGCGCCAAAAAGTCGCATTTCTGCGTGAGATCTGTTTTCTCGGCGATTAACTGTTCGATAAATTTTTGATGTCGTTTCACGATCGTCTTGTACTTGTTCTCGAGCTCCTTCACTTTAGTAGCATGGCAACGTTTCTGCGACATCATTTTATCGCATGCTGCCTTGCGTTCGGATTTTAATTGACTCTTCAGGCATTCTATCGTCGCGTTCTTCTCTTCGATCTGCAATCTTGCAGTCTCTAAATCATCCTGATAACCGAGAATCTGACCATTTTGCATGTCATGTTTGACTAAAAAAACACAAAATACAATTTACATAATTTTTCCTGTATTTTATGATATACTGTATATACAAGATGTATGATGATCAATCTAAGTTCAAATAAATTTTTTACCTCCTAGGATTCTGGCAGGATGATTCTGGCAGAACATTATTCGCTTGCATATTCTCTAGCATTAAAAATTGCAAAAAGATTTATTTTGAAAGCTGAATAAGTAGAACTATAAATTAAAAATTCCAATAACTAAAAAAAAAATATTTAAACGCAAATTTAAATATCAATAATCTGTCAAATATTAGTACCGTTTTCAAGTGTTCCCAGAAAGGACATTATATCTTCGTAAGTCGTTGTAGTTTGCTCATAATTGTTTGTAGTGACGTCCTTTTCCGGTTTGATCTATATTCAATCACATTTTAATTTACGTTAAACAACAAAATTATTGAATTTGTGAATAATTGCAATTATACAATCTTGAAATAAATCTTTATCTTCAAAAACCAACAAATTTCTCAGCAAAGTTTCTATCACTTACTTGTTCGGAGTATTTTTTCAACTCTTGCTCCAAGTTGCCGTCATACTTTACATCAATAGCGAGCTGATTGCACTCCGCAATTTCAATATTACTATCTTTTTCCAATTCATTTATCATGTTACATAATTGTGTGAACGAACGAGACGGTTCTATCAAGTTCTGATTAAAATCGCACTTTTCCTTGCATAAATTCTTCGCTTCCATGTTGATTTGATGTATGTGTTTAAAGCAAACACCCCTAATTGCTTTGCTAAAGAATTGGTCTGCACCGATCGCCAAACTTGCGTGCATTAGCGTGCACATGACATCATGAGTGTGCATACGTTTTTATTTATGCCCAAACGATCGTCATGGCAATGCATGTGTCAAACAGAGTGCTGCCAGCACCGGGCTTTCTCATTACGTATTGAAGAAACCCTGCAAAGCACATAACATACATCAGTTACATATTTGATTGCACTAAAAAATTAATTAACATTGTAATACAAATAATTAATAAAGCTAAAAAAAGTTTATAAAAAGACAAAAACTAGCGAAACATTTTTCGATCGAATTTTGCATCGTCTTCAATCTGGCGAGATTCAAATCGAAGTTCAAATCTGATACGCGCATTTGCATAAGATTTAAACAGTCCGCGTGGAGAGATGCCCGCATAATCTTAAGAAAAAAAGAAAGAGCTTTAACGTCATCTGATGTTGTCCAGAACAGTATTAACTTTATCGTCGGAAGAGAGAGAGGGTTTTCTCTCAGGATCTGTTAGCGGCGCAACGTCCAGCCTCGCTGCACCCCCGACAGACGGCACACGAGGGGATGGCATTTGCACGTAGTGGCGAATGTCGGCTATCGGTGGCGCTTGCCGGGCGAGGTTTCCTAGGGGCGGCTGCGGGGGTGACTAGGTGCTGGAGAACGGACGACAGGGGAGGGCGTACGTGCAGAGCGGCCCTTCCGACCCCTCGCGGCGTACGGTGGTACGTACCGTAGGAGAATCGATCTAAAACTAGAGTCGCCGCAGTAACCGCTGGGAGGAAGCCAGTGTTACAATTCGCGGAGGCTCCCGTCGTATGCGCCAGTGAAATCTTAGACATACGCCGGTTAATCGCACGTACGCACGGTCGTCGGGCCAGGTACGTCCACGTCGACGGACGTACGTCGCCGCAGCCCCTGCACGTCGCTCCGCCGTTCACTCGCTCTCTCACCCACCGTCTGTCCTGACGGCTAGGCAGCCACACAAGGGGCGGCCGGCCGGGGGTAGCCGTGCTTTAATCGCGGGGATATAACGGCGGGTGTTGTGCGCTCCTCGCTCTCGTCGCGTACGTGCGTGCGAGCGAGCGGGACGGAGCGAGGCGCGGCGCCGCGAGTGCGACGGAGACGGCGGCAACGTCTCAGGAAGGTGCAGCCGCGTGAGGAACGGCGGAAGACGTCGGCGGCAGCCAGTGAATTCAGCCAGCCAGTCCGTCGATCGGTAGATACAGCCCGCTGTCTACTGGCCCGCCATCCGGTCAGTGAATCCGGCCAGCCGAGCCAAGTGTCGCAGCGCGTTTCGCTCTTGCGCTCGAGAAAAGAAAGAAGAGAAGCGGAAAGAGAGAGGTGGCAAGAGGGGCAGAGACGGTGCGAGAGAACGAGGGTAGGAGTGAGAGAGAGACACCTTGCGAGGGTATACGCGCGAGCAGGCTGGGCGGATAGCGGCGCGACCGGAGAGCAGCATCCCCCAATATATAATGCGACGTGCAGCAGCCTTCCTCCTCGTCACCCTGGTGATCGTTCCTTCGGAATAAAGCCGCGCGCTCGCTGCTGGGACGGTTCCTTACCTGCAGGGCTATGACGTAATGGCAAGAGAGGTACGCATATCCTTCCGGTTGCTTCTTTCTTTCTTTCTCGCGCGTATGCAGCCTCCCTGCGATCTATGTGCCCGCGGGGTGTGGGAGGGAGAAGAAAGAGGAGAGAATTTCCCGTATTTCTATGTGTTTTGCATCGCGAACGAGGAGAATCGCCGTCGTCGTCGTCGTCGTCCCGTCGTTGTGGAAGTCTTCCTCACCGCGGAGAGGAGGACGCCTTTCAGTGACCTATTTTCCTGTGACCTCGTGACACCCGACGGGGTCGGTCCTCGGCTCGCACCCCCCAGAGTGCATCACCCTCTCGGCAAGGCCGAACGGCCGAAGGGACGAGCCCTTCGGTCCGCTCTCCTTCTCGACGGATGCGCGTTTCGCCATGAAAAGGTGTTTGCGCGAACGTTCCACTTTTTCGCTTGCGGCACCTTCGGCCTCATTTCGCTCTTTCCGATTATCCGCCGTGCACGCTCGTGTAATCGCTCCTTCGGAAACTTCCTCCTGCGGGATCCTGTCGGTTCGGAGTAGCCTTCGGCGATAATTCTTGCCATTTCTAACGTTTCTCTTTCTTATGGCAGATTTTATTCTTTGCGGTCATTTCGTTCATGCGTGTGTTTCGAATCCTTGCTCCAAAAAGCAAACGGTTATTACTGCAGGATTCTGTCAGATATTTTTTTCGATAATTCTTGAAATTCTTAATCCCCTCGCAACCTAGCATCATCCATTGCGAGGACACACTTTTTCTTCGTTTGTAATGTAGAGGCGTATAGTTGTAGAAATACTCGCTGCTGTTGTCCTAGTTTGTGGACATGTTCTGAGTTATGATTCGAGTCGTTTATCACCATCCGTGACTTCTAAGGGGAATAATAAATAGGAAAGAAACATATTTGAATGTATCTTTTGACAAATGGAGAGTCAGGCCTAAAATAATAATGTATTAACCTCCTTTTTGCAGCTATTTTGCTTTCGAATAATATTTTTCAGAAATGTTATTGATTTAAAAAAATTCTTTCCTTTAGAATTTTTTTTTTTCAATTAATATCCTTTTCAACAATAATTTATTGTTATTGTATAACGATTCATAATTATTTATTTGACCAACATTGATCTTTGTTTCTCAAAATTTGTGTAACTTTTATTACGGCTTTATCTCTTGTATTTTACATACTTCTTGTCAATATTTTTCTTGCATTGGCAAAACTTTCTGCAATACTTTTGGCATCAATAGAATCCTTCCCGTTGTCTTATTCGTGTATAGAAACTTCCCCGATATTTTTCCATTTGTAAAGTCCACTTCGTTACTTTATTCCTTGGTAAAAGCTCCTTCATCGCTTTGCGCGTTCACAGAATCTTTGTGTTCGTTTTGTCTACCAGTGGAAATCTTTTTCACGCTTTTCCCGCTCACATAGACTCGTCCTCATTGTCTTTCAACTTCTTACAATCTACTGCTCACTCGTAGATTTTGTTTCGTCAATTTGCAGAATTTCAAAATCTTTGTATTACTTTTAGCTGGGTCATAGAAATCTTCTTGAAGAAATCCAAAACACAAATTTTAAATTCGACGAGTCTTTTCCAAATATTTATCTCATTGCACGCTCGTCGCTACTTTACACGTTCGCAAAATTCGTCTTCTTGTTTTGCACGTTTGTAGAATCTTTTTACGCAAAATCGTTTTACAAAGTTTCTATGTGTTTCTTTTCTTATTATAGAAGCTTTCTCGCACGCTTGCAGTTTTACGCCCATTTCTTCGGAATATTCAAGAAAAATATTCCACCTGATTTGTTGTAAATATTTAATTTTATTTTTGACACACTGAAGCAATTTGAGAAATAAGAAAATCCGGACCGAATAAATAACTAAATACAAGAAACATGTGAATCTAAGCTCTTCATTAAATTAATTTTACGTGAATTAAGAAAATGGTTCTCTTGAGAGAGTAAATCCGCAGCAATCTAGCAGATTTCTTGTTAAAACATGCACCTGAGTTGTGGATTCCACTAAAAAAAAAATCCATATTTTTGTAAACTGTTTGCATATAAATTTTTCACATAAATAAATTGAGAGACAAAATTTGTGAAAGGGGAAATTTTAAGTTTCTTAGAAAATATACTTATAATCCGAATAAATATCTCAGGACATTTCAGCGCGGACATGTTGAAAGGGCGTCGTCACAAGAGGGAAATTTTGATAAACAGTTATTTAATGTTATTCTTGTTAGTTCGTCTGGCTATTTCAATTCCATGACTTTAGAATCCTTCGAGTGTGACGAGTTTGAGTAAATCAAAAATTCGCGAAGGAGTCAGCGGCGGCGGTTCTTGATGATACTTCGTTAAGAGATGCACCTGGGTGCATCCACGTTGCACGGGCCGCTGCAGCTGCAGGCGGTTTCCTATTTGCTCGTTAGCACGTTGCGATGTTGTTTACTAAGTTCCGTCCGCGGCGAGTTCGCGAATGCATCTGAAGGTTGTTATACGGGGCTGATTCTTGCATCGCTCAAATAAACATTCAATTTTAGATATTTCGACTCTTAAATATTTGAACTCCTAAAGCTTCAGATGTTGAATACTTTGATGTTTCGATTTTGAATTAATTATTTTGCAGATCCTTTGTTAAATCCTTCTGTACATTTGTGTAACGTTGTCATATAGTTATTTAAACCTGCACGATGTGACCAATGTGAAATTAATTAAATTCGTAGAGCTTTGAATGTCAGATCGTTATGTGAGTAAAGCACGTATCTCCGTATTTTAGATTCCTTTTTTCAATTTCGCGGAAGAATAGTAAGACGATAAAGCCGGAGAATAATGTAGAAGGTAAATGTGAGATAATTTGTTGTGTGGAGAATAAAGATAAATGAAATTTCTCTGGTTGAATCGGGTGCTTCTATTTTATCGCGGCATATTAATTGATAGCAAAGTAACATGTTTAATAGATGTAATAATAATATTTGAACATGAACGATGACTGACTGGTGAAATCGAACACTACGCGCTACACGGAATAAATAAGCGATATTACAAGTTAAGACCGGTTGAACCAGGTCAGTGCTTTCGAGCATAAAGTGCGCAAGCGTCCTGCATACCCTTAGCGCCACCCCGTCGAAGACTAGGGACAACTCCAAACATAATGCACCCCTTCGGCTCGCATTATTCCGAGAGATCGCTAGCGACGTCGTCGGGATGCAATCTCGCCGATCGAAGAGTGCTGGTGTATTCACAGTGCGAAATACAATAAAGTGCACGAGACGAGCTTGGCAGATATTCGCGAATAAATCGTATCGCGTCAATTTATATTTAAAGTAAATTAAGTAAATTAAAATCAATTAATGAAACAACGATTTTCGGATAAACGTGTCGTAAAATTTTTTGAGTGGAAAGACCGTGAAAAATTTCGCGCTAATTGTTGCCGTAAGTGTCTTGTATTTGCATACATTTTTATGAATATTATTAAGTGTAATTGCCTATAATCCGATGAGTAAACTAAGTTTCACTCTACTTGTTATATATGGAAATTTAATATATAGAAATGCGTTGTGAATTTGGAACGCTCGTGGATGCTCGTGAATATCTGAATATAAAAATTTTTAGCTCCGAGATCTGAGAGAAAAGATACCTTTAGATGCTTAGATGCCTGGGATTTAGGCGGAAACTAGGTCTAGAACCTTTATGCTCCCGAATCCTGGAATGCAGTAGTTGAATTAAAGTGCGATAGTTCTGAGACACTTTGCATACATGTAAAGTTTACTCTCTTTCTCTCATATAATTTTATCTTATTATGCTAATATTTTTATCACTTTCATTAAGTATGCTAATCGTAATCGCATGTTAATGGACTTAGGACAATTTTTTTGGTCCTGTATGTCCCGCATGTTATCGTGCATCAATTTTTATTAAAATTCATATCAGTTTTGCATAATTAAATGAATAATTAAATAGGCATTATTTTTGCGACAACAACGTTACATTAAAAATTAAAAAAAAAAAAAAATTGAATTCTATCAGTTTTAATCTTTTTCTTTAAAAGTAGTTATATTAAGCTATCGCAAAAATCGGAATCTTGTGTCTTTTTTTCGAATGTCATTTAATCAATATCCATATTTCTGTCAGCGAAAAATATTCTGTTAATCTCGTACACGACAGAGCAAAATATTTGAAAGTTTCATATGTGCCCGACTTTATTTATCAGCCGTTCTACATCGCCAGTGTACGAAGCACGCTGGGAAATTATTTACTCCACTTAACATCTAGGTAACGAGCGTTTCTCGGGGTCACTTCTTCGAGCTTTCACATGCTTTTCTTGCCGCTTATTTTTAATTTATGCCATTGCTTATTTGCTGCAAAGTGCATGACAAGTTTATATAATAATGCATTGTTTATACTGATTTCGAAAATTTATACAAATTTCAAATTCTTCTAAAGTTGTGCAAGCTTTTTAAAATTGTGCGCAAGCAAACGGTAAATCGTATATTTTAAATAACGCTAACGTAAGTCTATGCTATTTTACCCTTTTTCTAATGTTTAACATTTTTATTTTTACAAAGCGCTTTAAATGCCTGCGAGCTTGCACAAGCTTCCGGAGAACATTTAAGGTCAATAATAAATCGCAAATGTCAACCATTTTTAACCTTCCTGTGGATTAAAGTCCAGCACACATTGGCATTTTTTCACTGCGCTAAAATTGATCGATCCCAGATGTCATGCTTTTTTTTCATCGCCACAATTTCTCTTAAGGCTTAATTAATTTTTATTCTAAACTATGTTTAACATTTCATAAATTCCTATCCCACGTTTTTTTGTTACAAAAATCACAATTGAATTTTTATTATTAGTCATATTTTATCGCTGCGTATTAATTTTTGTAAATGCTAATACTAACTGCCTTTAGAAGGATCGTAATTGTGCGTTATTTAATTTTTGCAGGAGTTACGGACCAAGAGACCTTTTAAGATATGGGACAGCTGGCGTAACGTAAGAAAAGGACTGGTCGTTAGCAATTTCGAAGAGCTAATTGTTCGAGGTAAAGAATGCATAAATTTAGAAATTAACTATTAGATTCAATATTGATAATTAAAGTGCATATATATGACACATTAGACATTAATGCTGTTGTTTGTCGTCATTAAAATACTTTGCACTTTGTTTAAAGTCGTACTTCTAAAATGTCGCTCTAACTAGAACGAAGATTTCTCTGAAATAGTTGTTTATTATTCATCTCATTGTTCCCAAAATGTGTAATATATTGAGCAAGACACTGAGCTGCTCATTTTATACAAAATAAATTTTTTTTACTGTTAAAAAGAGATTTGAAAATTCTGAAAAATGAGAAAAGAAGTTATTTGCAAAAAAAAAACCAACGCGCGCGTGCTCAGAGTAATTCTCGCAAGCATTATACGTCGTCCTTCCGGAGCACTCTTTCTACCTGTCCGGCGGCGGCCGGCCAGCGAAGAAATATTTCCGGTCGGAAATATTTCCGCGCGGCGTATCGCGCGCGGAATTGCATTATCTGTAAAGTTCCTTTGAAAGTGTCGCTCTCGCAACACACATTTCTCGCAACATTTCTCAGAGACAAAGCGCCGTATTCGTTCGTTCGAGGACATACCACCATTATTCGCAACTGCGCCATTCACGCGATTACACAGTACAAGCGACACGTGGCACACGCACATGCATACCCCACACAGACGCGAATATGTGACAGACATGCACACGCACACGCCCACACGCTGACGTTGAAGCGTTATCACAACACTGAACGCCACCTGACGCCCAGCCCTCGGCCAACCCTTGCTTTCAGGTAAGGAAAAGCTGGGTGTGCCACAAAATGAGAACGTCTCGTTAGTTTTGGAGTCGGACGGCACGCAGGTCGAGGACGGCGAGTACTTCAAGACTTTAGGCAACAACACGATCCTGCTCCTGCTGCGGCATGGTGAACGCTGGTGTCCTACTGGCGTCGACATCATACGCGCTGGTGGGTAAAACGAGACAATACACCGAACGATTTCAGGAGAAACCGGCAACTTGGTTGAGGAAGCTAAGGTTGAAGCAACAGAAACTTTGAAAGGATATCCTCCAAAAAAGAAAAAAAAAAATGAGAAAAGAGAAACAACAAAGGATTAAAAAATGTATAATATCGAACCGTCGAAGAATCAGAATTTCTTTCGTTATTTGAAAAATTAGATTCATTGAACGATTTGGTCAATAAAAATTAAATTAACCTTGAAGTGATCAACCAAGTGGCTTTTCTTCTACTCACAAACGTCTCGACTTTCTGCATTTTTGAACCCTCGAATATATAGCTTCTTTAGAATCATACGCGCTGCTATGTAAAGGGGATATTGCAACGATCAACTTTGGTTGATGGAAATCGGCAACTTGGTTGAGGAAACTAATCTCGAGGCAACTGATAAAATTGATCAAACTGAATTACACGTGGATCAAACTGAATCCTTACACACACACAAGCCTTTAAACGATCAACCAAGTAGGTTTTCTTCTATACTTAAGCTCTCTTTAGATGTTTTGGATTTTTCACAATCTCTCTTACCACCCGAAACCTCTTTAGACTTTTGGATCCGTAAGCTCTTTTGGCTCCCTTAAGATTTGTGGATCTCGCACTTCTGCGATAGATCACCGGCACTGACTGTCACGCCTTGCAGCACCGAACACCACCCAGTATTGTCACTCCCGCGTTCAACCAATAACACGGTCTTTCGTTCTTTTTGCATTCCCAGCAATTTCGGCGATCCCGAAAATAGTCTGCGAGACGATCCACGCGCTGGAGCTACACGATGAGACGCCATCGTGGAAGATTATGGACAATAAAGGCCGAGTCACAGTGGTGCTGCACTGGGACCAGCGCTCGTCGTCGTCGTCGCAGGTGCAGCAGCAGCAATCGAAACCGGGCCAGGACGCCCAGACGTCCAAGTACTCGCCGACTAAGAAAGCCGACCTGAGCGGTACTCAACGACCGTCCTTGGTGATCCAGACCAGCCTGGACAAGCTCGGCTACGATGGCAAGGCGACGCATTTGCCAGGCGAAATCGCCCCGACGCGGTACAGCAGTCCGCGAATCACTGTGATAAATCATGATGATATGGTATTCAATTTACGATCTTATTATTCTAAGCGTGTTTTATCTTCAAGTTTTGCGGTACAATGTCAATGTTTTAAAGCCTGCAGATCGCCACGTCATTTCTACAGCAATAATGATTCAATTAACTTTTTTAAGAAAATTAATTAAACCACTGTCGCCCCGATTTTTTTCATCACAATTATGTGCTTATTTCTCAAATTATACCGATCGATTTTGATAAAACGTCAGTACTTATAATTAAAGAGATACATTATTCGTTAGTTATCAAAGCAAATTTTTTCAAGGGGATATTTTTAAGGAGATAAACTCAGTCGCTACTGCATCATTGCATTGTTTAAACTTCCGATTTTAATTACATTATTTGTCCTTTTTTATAGTATTGATTTGACATAAAAATAAAAAAAAAAGCAACACCGCTAATAGTTATAAATTTATCATCTTTTTCCGATAGCAGCAACCGGCGCAGCCGCACATGCCAGGTCGTTTGGTGAAGCAGGGCACGAATTCATTCGACAGCACGACCATCCACATCCACACGCCAGAATGCTCCAATCACATCCATCAGCCGGTCGCGAGAAACGGCAGCCCGGTGAACGGCGCCGATGGCGGCGCCGTTGGCGAGTGCGACTTCCACTGCTGCGCCCTGCACGAGGAGGGCCGCCGGATCGCCGTGCATAAATCGGTGGCGACGTCGCCGATTCAGGACGCACAGCACGCGCAGTATCAACATCCGCATCATCCGCATCAACAGCAACAACAGCAGACACAAACGCAGACACCATCGCCGCAGCCGCCGTCTTCGCTATCGGACGGCACCAAGCGACCCGGCCTCAGCAAAGGTCACGTACGCTTCCGCGACACCGCCGACGAGGAGTCGAGCTCGCGTCTGGCCGGCGCCGCCGGTTTTCATCTACATCACAATCACCATCATCATCATCAGGAGCACGACAGCTCCGAGTCCGAGACAGAGAATACGATAATGGAGGACGAGTTCGGGGTGACCTCGGAGAAGTTTCTGCTTCTGATCGATCAGTTGACGGTCGACCAGAAGCACCACCTTAGCATCAAGGACATCGGCATTATACTGGAGCGACTCAGCTCCAAGATCCTCGACGTTGAGCGGCTGGATCGCGAGAGCGAGAGCGAGGAGTGCTACAATTGGACGATCAAGGCGATCATCCGGGGCGATGTCCTGCGGGAGCTCGGGGTAATCTATAACGGGAATTACTACGCGATTTCGGAGCACCCCGGCTACAAGGAGGAGTCCGAGGAGAATAATGAAGATAACGAGGAGGAAGAGGAGGATAGACTTTAATATGATGCTGTTTTATTAGATAGATAGATAGATAGATTATACACCTATTCCTGGTTATTATTAACTTAGGATATGTTGTAAACGGAAATAAGGACGGGGAACATCACGTGGTCTCTCTCCCTAAGATCCGAGGATTTTTTGGCTTCTGGCTTTTCTGTGATGTTTGCGGAGATTCTACAGCATTCCCGGGAATCTCTGTGATCCTTCCAGGATTTTCTGAGAATTTAGGTTTTCCTAAGGTTTTTCTAGAATTTTTTTAGCATCCGAAGCCGCGGTAACGTCGTCTCGTGCCAAATATATCTATGAAAGTTTCACAGAATTAATGCAGAATTTTTTGATCTTTGGACAATATAATTGCGTAAAAGTCGCCCAAGATTCAGTGAACTTAGAATTTCTAGATGTATCCTTTTCAAATTTCAGGACATTCTTAGTGATTTCTAAGATTTCGGAATTTCCTGCGTAGGATTCCTTCCTAGAACTTTCTAAGAATTCCAATGTTATTTGTAAAATTTTTAAAATTGTCTTCAAATTTGCATTTGAAATTTATAATATTCATCTTGCAATTTTCTCTCTCTCTCTAAGAATCTCTTAAAACTCTACAATCCTAGAACTATTCAAAATATTTTAAATTCTATTTCAGATATTCTAATATTTGTTTCGAATTTTTTGGCTTTAGGAGATTCTTGGAAAAAAATTTTCAAATTTTATTACTTTGGATTTGCGCGTTCTATAGAGATTCCACTTTTCTTGCGTTACAACTGATTCCTGAATTCCGAACGTCATAGATCTTAGATGTCGCAAGACCTACCTTAGACTCTAAACATTATAATCCTAGGTGCCTTAGATTCCAGATATCTTAAATCGCACAGACTTTCGATCGAAACATCTTAAGTCCTGGGCGTCTTAGATCTTAAACACTGTAAATTCTAGGTTCTTCAGATTCTAGGCTCGTCCAGGTTCACAATCTCGATATGAATTCTAAGTTTCTTAAGTCCTGGCACTTTTTTAATATAAATCCGTATGCTAAGTCGTTCTTCTATTACGAAGTGTTGCGAGCTATTACGCAATCTTTAAATATGCAAGGCGAAACGAGAGGGAGTTTTAAAAGAATAACGAGGATAACAAAAAGGATGGACTTTAATGTAATGGTGTTTTGTTAGATAGATGTGTAGATTACGATTACAATAGAGCTGCTTACTTTTGCATGAATTACATGCTAATTTTCCAATTGAGAAATTTAAATCCAATTTTGTCAAGTTTTTATTAAAGTAAACACCGTTGCGCCGAATCCTTTCATTTGTCCATCATCCATGGTGACTTTGCGTACGGATTTACGAATGATCCAAAGATCAGCTTCTTTGGAATTCACGAAATCCTCGGATCAAAGAAGAAAATCACGGAAAAACGAAGAGCGAGTGTGACGCATGCGAATTACATTCACATCGCGAGGAGGAACGTAATTCGTAAAATCGAAAGGCGACAGAGGGTAGATCGGTGAAGAGCGCCACTTCTTCCAAATGTGTTTCGTAATAAGGAAAAAAAAAAAATACGAGAAAGAAGCATAACAGGGGAAGAAGAAGAGCGCATCGTAATGAAATCATGTAATATGATACACCTTTATTAAAAACCTAGTTCTAAAGACGGTTGTTGAAATATGTACTTATTAAAATTAGCATGTATACTTATAGAAAACATTTTTGGGATTACGGACGTCGATTCCGTAACCGTCCACAACACTGCCCTAACTAAAAAGAAGAGATAAAGTAGGGAAAGAGAGAGAGAGAGAGAGAAAGAGAGAGTGAGAAATAGAAAGAAGAAAAGGGAGAGAAACGAGAATAAAACTAAAAGGTGTGTATATATACATATATACAATGCGTGACGATTCGACTCGACTCGACTCTCGACTAAATCAAGCTAAGTGATAAGTTTTTTTCTTCGCTCGCAATGTGTCAATGATTGATCTTTTATTGTAGAATTTAAATATATATAGCTTTCCCCCAAAACACTGATTTTTAAATTAATTTTAAATTAATATTCCACGATAGTTTAGATTCATAATTGAAGTTCTAAAGTAAATTTTTCCATCAAGATTAAGATTTCCCGATTATATAATTGTTTTCACAATTAGTTTTAATTTCCTTACACAATATATTTTGGAAGTTAATTCATCAAAAGGTGTTAAACACTGAAAAATTTATGAATAATTTCGAAATAAGAGATAACTTTGTTTTCTCGAAAGATGTCAAAAAATTCTGCAGTAAAGGATTAATTTATACTTGTAATAAGCGCAATCGTGGACGAAACTTTCGCGAAGACACAAGATCGATCGTCGACGTCGGGAACGATCAATGATCTCGAACGGCGGATGGATAACATGTGGCGAGCATATGTATCAATCTATAGATCGTCATAGAATGCTCACTAAACGATATTAAATATGGATTTAACGTAATCGCGTGGCTGCCTTTAATTCATCGAACATCGCGGACGATTCATGAACCGCGCAAAGATCGACATCAAAGCTGATGAGAAAGCGACGTGATAAATGGGAGTGGGGGAATGAAGTTGTTTGTTTCTCGCCGACGTAAATTCTTTATAGACGTGAAACAATATTCTCGTAGCCTAAGATCCTTGAATCCTCGGATTCTCCGATCTTTGATTACCTGGATACTAGGTTCCTTGGACTTCATCTTCTACAAACGAATCATTTATCTTGTTTCTTTAAATTACAAGCCAACTGATCTCAATTTTCTAAAATTTCAATTTCTTCAATTTCAATTTGTCGATCCTAAATTATAGAAATTGTTAAATATCTAACTCTTGTCTTTTTCATTTTACAAATTATTAATTCTTGTCTACTTCTAAACTTTCTGTGCATCTACTGCTAATTTTTCCAGAACCTAGTATACCCACTTCAATCATTTCAGCTCATCGCAGCTGCGATTTCTCGAATTAGATCCGCGAATGAAAATCGCGTTTCATTCGAAGCGGAACACAATACAGACAGCATCGCTCAAAGCTTTCAACTCCTCTTTGAGAATATAAAATTAATGTAATTAAATAATGTTTTTGCCCAAGAGTCAATAACGATTTCGAATAAATAATTTTCAATAGTAGAAAGTATTTTCTTTAATCTTATTTTGATTTCAATTTATGTCAATTTTTATGTGTTAATTAATTTTTACAGACTATCCCCTGTGTACAAATTTAATTTTTATACTTGAAATTATGGTTTATTTCAAGATTCCACTTAATAAAAAATTGTCAAAGTTAGTATCGATATACATATTTTACGAAAAGGAAGCTGAAAGTTTCGAGTGATGCTCGAAAAACACATACACACGCGTATAGATTACGTGTAACAATATAAGCATAGTCGAAATCATTCGGAATTTACGTTAGCGGATGTACTACATGATTATAAACGATATATCGGTACATGTCGAGGATACGCTCTATGTGAAACTTTGCAATTTTAATATATTTCTATTGTAAGTATACACTCGAGAAAAAAAAAACTATGAAAGAGAAAGAGACGATGGCATACACGATGCGTGAGAAGTATTCGATAGCGTAATATTATATATATAGATATACATATATTATATATAAGCGAACTGTCGTGGCAAAACCACTTTATACATACAGGTCGTCTCGTTATGACGACACGAGGAACGTTCGAGGGCAAATTTTGAAAGCCACTCAAAAAAAAAGAAGAAAAAAAAAAGAAAGAGACACTCGCGAACAGAGAAAAGAGCGAATTTCGTCGTTCCGTTGACGTTAAGATTTTCCATGTGTCTTATCTCATCTCGTACTTCGTTTGCGATCATCTTATCTTCGAGAGCGTGATGCGCTTAGATCCCGAAATTGTCGGAATCTAGGGATATTCTGGGTTCCATCGATCCTGCGGATCGAGTCTTCCACATTCGCCGATGCACTCGGGTCCTCGAACCGTCGAAATCTAGAACTCCAGGTTCCGCCGATTTCAGATCCCTCAGATTTGAAATCGCAGATTCCGCGGAGATGTGTGTTCTTTTTTTTCCAATTTAACGTTCCACGGATTCTAGATCGCTGATAAGATTCTAGGTTTCTTAAATTTCGCGTTCTTTGAGTTCGAGTTTGTGAGAATGCTAGGCTCCCTGGAACATTAAAGCGCCGTATGACTCCTCCGCGATCTAAGAGTTCGAAAGTCGTGTTATCTTAGAACCCTGACTTTTTGAGTTTTGGGATCTTCTGTAATTTTCTTGGAATTTTCTCTGGGACTTTCAAAATTCTCGAATTCCAGGATTGTTACTTCTCTAGATCATCGCAACGTCAAATTTCGAATCCTCGGATTCTCGAATCCCGATCATTTGGTTTTAAGGGTAACGTGAGAAAGAATTTAAGATAATCAGAATAATA